AAAAATTATTTACATTGGTTTAATGGCAATAGTTATTTCAGCAGTTTACATCTGTGTGTGTAAATGTCTATGACCTAGTTAGTCGCACTGTACCGCGATTTTACTAAGTCGGCAGAAAAGATGAACTTTAATTATTACACATTTGAATTGTTTATTGCTATACCGAGTGTTCCCACAATGATGATGATGCTGTATGGTTGGATGAAACAGATGTTGACACAATGAATGTTGCCGACATTAACAACCTAAACGATCACGAAGTGGCTGCTATGCCAGTTATAAACAATTTAAAGGGGTGGCTTCAAAGTCCAAGGGCTCAAGATGATTAAGTTTTCTTTAATTAATATAAGTAATCGTTTTTTTTTTGTTAATTTCTTGAAATGTTAATTTTATTAAATAATTTAAATAGAAATAAAACTAATTTCGGAACTGCTGTTTTAATTCAATAATTTCTAAATGTAAAAATTGCAAAATATGTGACCTCACACTAGGAAGGGGGAGGAGTCTCACAAATCTGACCAGCTGTGACAAGGACAGGGGAGGGGTCAAAAAAATCATAAAATTAGTGTGACGTAATTTATGGATGGCCCCTAAGATGTTTCATGGATAAAGAGGGATGATAAAGAAAGATAATTTATAATATAGCTTGTGGTAGATACTGTTTTCCGAATTTATTTAAAAAAATAGTTCTTCCCCATATATGTGTTTGCCCTAAAAACACTTGTATAATAGGTGCGCAACTGTGTAACTTGGTTGTTGTCATTGTATGGCGAGGGGGATACTTATCCTTTGGGCAAATGGGATCGCGTTGCTCATGTATGTTTCATGTAGTGTTTGTACACAAGATGGCGAACAGATCAAAGACACCAAGGAGAACGTATCATCGATAGAAACGTGAGGTAATTACAGAGCCCTCTCCGATCCGGGAAAATATTGACACAATGCTAGCTCCAAGTTAATTAAAGTCCGCCTATCAAAGTGCGCGTTTCCTGTGATAAAGGACTTCGGTCCGTGTTCACCAGTGGCGTGCCACTCGGTTTTTAACTTCTTTCAAATATTCTTTATTCTACTGATATTTATAAATTTATTAAACATCAGGGTAAATGTCTAGATGATGGCCCTTGCGGGGGTCGGGGTGGGTGGGATCGAAACAGCAGGTCTCCCCCTTCACTGTACCACAAAAAGTTCGTGGCGGTCTCACTCCCATAAAAATTTATGGGGGTTGAAAGTTGATTATTTTGACAATTTTCATACACTATAATTCAAATAAAATTCAATAAAAAAATTATTTTCAAGCGGGTGGAGGTGTGGGATCGATTTCTCAATATTTTTATGTATTTTTCATTGAATATTGTTTAAGAATGACTCTATATAAATATTTACATGCCAAGAAATGTATAAAAATTGGCATATTTATTAACTTTGAACCCCCATAACTTTTTATGGGGGTGAGACCGCCACGAACTTTTTATGGTACAGTGGTGNTTACCTTTGAATATTGTTTAAGAATGACTATATAAATATTTACATGCCTAGAAATGTATAAAAATTGGCATATTTATTAACTTTGAACCCCAATAACTTTTTATGGGGGTGAGACCGCCACGAACTTTTTATGGTACAGTGGTGGGGGAGACCTCCTCTTTCGATCCCTCCCACCTCCACCCCCTAAATGGGTGGGGGTCATCATCTAGACCTTTACCAACATCAGAACATGTCGGATTAAATTAATTTATTGTCGCAATCTAAAAATTTTATAATAATGGTTGTGATAGTTCATACGTATGCAGGACAAGCTAAAGGACACGTTGAATCTACTATTTTTATCCATTTGTCTTAATAAGCAATTTCCATGCCCGGAAACTTTTTTATTTACCGAGACTGACACTTATCGAATGTTTATGTATGTATGTCTGTATGTATGTATACCTAAAATCTGCTTTTGTTTTGTCAGACACACAATTAAGGTTATAGACTGTTTACTACTCACCCCGATCACTTTTTCGAAGAAAGTGTTTTTCGCGTGAAACATTCACTTTATTTTTCATCCCCTCCGTCTATGCATTATTGATTATGTTTTTGGACTTAGACATTCGCGTAACCTATGAATACAAAGTAGCCGATAAAAATGTTTATCCCTTTGCCTTCAGCAACTCTGTGAAACGATGAGGAGAGCGAAGTGATCAAGTCACAATTTTATAAGCTTATTGCCGGCTGCGAATTCGTATTGCCTAGTCATCGACAGAGAGAAAAAGAAACACAGAAATGAACCAGCACGAGAAATTGTATGACTTTTGAAATACAACTATGAGTATTTGTATTGAAACGTTCTGCAGCTTTTGCAAGATCGCTACTTGGAGTGAATCTCTTCACGAGCCGAAAAACTATTGCAAGCAAGAAGACTAGAGATAATAGGATTAGATACCTAAATTTTATAAATGTATATTAACAAAAACTTTCAAGAAATTAGAGATTAATTAGAAATGAAAATTCCAATAACATTTCTTGTTGTTTTCCTTTCATGTCAACGTTTTGTTTGGAAAAAAAATAGTATTAAAAAGTTTCTCTTTATAGGCAATGGGCTTTCTAAAGAAATGTTACTCATAATAGGTACTAGGTAGGTAGTAATTGTACTTGTCGTATTGGGAAAGGTAATGGATATCAACGGTCAATTTTCGTAATAGATTTAAGATTTCGGTCGGAAGTTAAAACTGATAAAAATATCACAATTAACGCGAAACTGAAATAGAAAAGCAAACGACTGCATTAATAATAAGTCATCAGTAGTGGAGATGTCAGCTAAGTAATTAATCTTCCCGTGCAACACCCAACTGTCAGAACGGTGAATAACGGCAGCACTTATATAGTCGTTGATGATTCGTAAGTGTTAACTTCGTTAAATATGATGTTGAAATGTTGAAGAATTATAAAAAGCACAAACAAAAACAGTTTAGGGTTTTGCGAAACTTACTTCCTCTATTCGCCTACATACGTAAAGAGATGATCACGAAAAAATCACCGAAATGCTATGGGAAACTTCAAAATAAGTTGAGTTAATTTTTGAAATTATGGACAAATGCTGTTGAATTTACCGTGAAAATTTATGACTAAAAATGGTGAAAGGTGATTCTCTGTAAAGTTAATGTGTTAAATTTTTCTATTCCAAAGCAAGATTATTTAATTTTAGAGGCTTATTTCGTCAATGTTGTCAATGAAAATGTTTAAACTATTGATTAGTATAAAATCTACTGTCATTTTGGCCCGAGTACCGTATGCATTCTTAGAAAATTACAAATTTCCCATACGTGCATCTTCGCCATAATTGGTAGGTAGTATATTCGGAGCATACTGAAGATATGACATAAAAATTAAACAAAAAAAATTGAGTTGATTATAACCAACGGTTCCCAGCAATATCCCACATGATACTACAGAGAACGTAAGCAATCAAGAAAAACTACAGAAAGTTTGCTTTTCGCTAACAATTCATTCTTTAGATTATTTCAACGGAAATAACGGAATATTTAGGAGATACCTGCTACTGTACCTACAACCAACATCCTTTACGCCATCTCGTCTTCCAAAATATAATGTAAGCAGTTTATTAAATGGTTCATTAAGGAAAATTAATTAACAGGTATTAGATAAACTCGACAACCGTAAACATAAAAAGGTGCGGATACCGATAATAAGCCGCCACATCCCGTTCCGACCCCTTGTTTTTTCCGAAATCCAAGCCCGATGAGGGGCGTACCGTCCAATCTCTTAAGTAACCATGGTTTTAAAATGTACCTCATTCGCGATAAAAGCGAAGCTAATGCTAATGCAATTGGTTTTTATATTTCCGCCGAATCCCCACGTCATCATGGATCCGAACATTCTGCTGGATTTATGTAGATCCGTTTTTCTCCAGTCACCCGGAGTGTTAGTAATGCGCAAAAGTGTTATTTGGAAAGCTTGGAGGATGGGCTTTCCAATCCCATTGAGGATGATAATAATAATATACATACTTAATACTTATTTCCAATTCGGAAAAAAATTAGGCCAAGAACAAGTCAAGCCTCATAAACTACAGTGTAAGCTCTTTATAACGTCACTCGATTTAACGACAAACTCCTTAAAACGTCGAAATTGCTTGACTTTGGTTGGTTTACATTGTTCTCTATACAATATTACACTCTATATAGCGTCACGCTCACTCTATTTAACGACAACAATGTGGCATTATAAATCATTGAGCAGTACTTTCTAAGTTGCCGAAATAGATAAGTACTGCAGCTGTGTACGTTGTTGAAGAAGACGATCCTGTCCCTCCACCAAGAATCAAACAAGCACTTGATGCAGCGAAACTATTAAAAAAATACTTTTTATGTAATCAAATTGATCCAGCAGTATCTCAAGATATGAGTAAAATACGCAACAAAATACAATTAAAATATTGGAGCAGCAAAAAACATCAGACGAAGATAACAGGCTATACGCAATGTATGAATAATAATGTTCATGTTCAATGTTAATAAAAAGAGATGCTTTTCGAGATATTTTAAATACAAATAACCTTCCAGCAAATGGAAGATCCCAGGATCATTCAAAAGATCCATGGTTTTCAATTAAACTGGATGTTTCTAAATTGCCGATTTTTAGGGAGTTACCTAACTACAAATTAAGGAGAGACATTTTGAATTTTTGCAGGGTTAAGGAATTTTTAATTTCGGTGGTTTTCTAAATTTTTAATTATTTTAATTTCCATACGCCGTTAAATTATAAAATCTGAATTGTGTTACTTGAAATCTATATTTTTGAATACAATAATATACGCACATGCACTATGTGACAGTGATCTACCTATGTATGCACATATTGTAAAGAATTGTACTTGTGTCTATCTAACGGTTTAATTAAAAACTGGAGTACAAATCTAGTAATATTTGTAATACGTACAGTATCACTAATTTGGTGTCTGGTTTTAAAAATGTTACATGCAGTGACAATCCATTTTACCTGAAGAGATAATAATTTTAAAATATTAAAAAGAAGGGATAATAGACCTAATATCAAAAGTACGATTGATATTACCAGAACGACCAGGGGAGAAAATTGTTTCAAATGGCAGGTGATTAGGTACGTATCTTTTTGTCACAATTTGTTAAACCATATCTATTTCCAAATTTACCGTTTGATTGACTAGACTTCTTTTTCATTAGTTTTAACTCATTCTTCCATTTTCGTTCCAAAGCTGGACAATTCTTCTTATAAAGGATTTCTAATTTTGCAGACATATTATTCTTTGTTATGAGTTAGATTTTGTAAAAAAAAACACAAAAATTTTGAAAGGATAAGCAAATGTCATAAATTTAAAAATCCTGCTTATTGACAAGACAAAACTGACTGGAGAATTAGCTTACTTATTAAAATAGTTAGTTGATTTCCCTTAGTATGGATATTCATGCTAGTTGTAATGCGCGTTACCCAAGTAAAAATATGTCGCGAGAATTTGAGAACATGGCCGAGCAGAGCGCGAGAACTCCCGAACGCAGTTTCGGTTTCGGTCGTAGTTTCGGCAGGTTTGCCGCCGAAACCGAAACTAAACCGAAACTCGTTTTTCTGCCGAAACTCGACCGAAACCGAAACCGAACTTTCGGTCGGACACTAGTAGCCGACAACTGGACGCCTGGACCATCCGGTGACTGGTGGCTGTCCAACCGGCTACAGTATTTACGGAAACACACTCTTCCGATCGACTATCCGGCACGTGAAAGGCACTTAGGAGATTGTGTCGGCGCAGCGCTCAACTCATCGCGCACTTTTCAGTTTGAACGTATAGTTAAGGGTTCGGATAGTCTCGAAGGTTACTGGTCTCGTTAGCCCTCAGGAAACTTTAAATGGTTCTCCTGGGATTATATGTCTGGTGGAATGGTAACCCTGAAGTGTCAGCTTGCCATCCAGGTTCAATAAACGTGGTTTGGTGTGCAAAAAAGGCAGATTCTATTCTGTTCTGGTAAATTTCCATGTTGTGATCTTACAATTTAAAATTTTAGCGTTATTGCCTATGAAATTGCTGGAAAATAAATACTTTCACTTTTCTGAAAAGTGCTAGTGTCACTATGACTTTATATATTAGTTGATGCTATAAATGTATTACCTTTTCAAGATACGGAGTCTTTGGTATGACAGATCGATTCATATTTAGCTGACCAGGTAGGTGTACTTAAGAAAAATAACGATATCAGTGAAAAATTAAAAGCGAAACATTTTCATTGTCTATGATTTGATTCTAAATACTGGTTCCTTTTTAGTGCTCGTATTATTACGCCAATAGAACACTAATGGATTTCCACTTTGTTTATCATTTCAAAAGATACGTACGAACGATATGGAACGGAATGAGTGTCCGTTCCAAGCTACTTTTTCATTATACATGTAATAGTTTACTTCTTAAGTCAACTCTATCTAAAACACGTACAAAATTAAATCGTCTTATCATGTACTAAAACGAAAGTGGGTGTTAACAACGAGCACCTATTCATTTAAAACCGTTCCAGCGGCTACAAACGCCTTCGCTAAAGTCATATCAAAAATAAATGTTCAGTATAATAAACACATTAAAAAAATATTACTCTGCCACGATAATTTGTTAAACCACACGCTTTTTGTCACAGTTACACGGATCTTTATGTTAATAGTTCTTCAGTTTAAAAAAATGTTCATCCTCATTATAAGATCGTCAGTTCTAAGACTGGTTGGACACGCACCTCCACTCTTTCTTATCCTTAGCTAATCTTTGCATTTCCCCAAAACTAGAACATCCCACGTCCTTAACTATTTGCCAATAGTAAACTAATTTAGGTCTCTAAAAATGTGTTATCAAATGTTATCTGCTGATTGGTGGATCCATTATCATCGTTTAATTTTTATTATACCATTAGAACTTGTTCTAAATGATCATTAGCTTTTACATTATATACAACTGCATAATTTTCCGCCTTCTACAAGTATACACACGGAAGAAAAGAATAATTCAAACTTGTGGTATTCTATAGGCGTAAACATTTAGTACCTTGCAGAGTTATTCGAAGGAAACAAGAAAGTAGGTGCCAAAGGGATTCATTTCGCTGCTGGAAACCGAGTCGTATACCTATTGGAAACCCTAACAGAATTTTAATGTAAACGAAAAAGTGTTCATCGTACGTGATTGCTGTTTATATAAAAGTCAGACCATAGCTTCAATTTGAAGATAAAGAATGTATTAAATATTGAACAAATAAAACATTAACCACCATCATCAACATCATAAGGTCGTCAGTTCTAAGACTGGTTGGACACGTACCTCCACTCTTTCCTATCCTAAGCTAAACTTCGCATTTCCCTAAAACTAGAACAACCCACATCCTTAACTATTTGCGAACAGTAATCTAATCTAGGTCTACCTCTACCCCTCCTAACTCCTGTTTCTGCCTCTAATATGTCTTTGACTAGTCCTTCATGCCTGAGAAGGTGTCCTACCAACCAATCTCGCCTATTTCTTATTGACCTCCATAGAGTCCTCTGCTCTCCTATTCTTTCTAATACCTCTTCATTTGTAACCTTTTCTACCCACGATATCCTCATCATGCGCCTATAACACAACATTTCGAACGCCTCTAACCTTTTCTTTTACGCCGCGCCCACCGTCCATGTTTCGCACCTGTACAATGCCGTGCTCAAAACATATACCTTCAACAATCTTTTTCGAATTTCTAAATTAACCGTTCGCGAGCATAGAAGTGACTTGTTTTTATTAAAGGCGACACGACCCTGCGCTATCCTCTGCTTTATATCCCTACTACTCCTTCCATCCTGACTTATTTGACTTCCTAGGTATCTAAAATCATTATATATATATATATATATACATATCATTTTATTACCCTTGACCTTGATAAGTACCATAACGGTCCGTGGCGTCCCCACTTGTAAGCGTTCAAACTATTGACATCCGGGACGTCTAAGATGATCCCGCCGCCACAGTAACAATCAGATTTATACAACATTCATTCATCTAATATCAATACAATAGTCAATCATATAGTATATAGTGTTTCTCTTTTAAGAGATAGCCATTACTAGTTTCGGTAAAAAAATAAAATGTTCGTCAACCCCTCTCCATCATATCGGGTCACGGAACCACAGGTAAATATCAGTTGGGTTACGAAGTCCTAATACAAATGATTATATTAGAAAGTAACTTCCAGATTACTTTTTGTCCAAAAGATTTGATAAAAAGAAAAATTTTAGGAACATTTGTACGTAATTGAGTCATTCCGTATGCGTACGGTGCGTCCAATGGCACTAGCTTTACCAAGCTTGAATTTTATTGAAAGCGCATGGTAATTTTAAGCTTTTAAAATGCGATTTTCTAATAAACACATTTCGATGTAGATGGAATTCAATCCAATTTTACAAATACGTTTTCGGAAAGAGACTTACAATATTCGTTCGATGCGTTTTATAAAAGTCTTCGGGTCTATATCCATCGAACATTTAATTTGCAATCTACATCTCGAGCTCGGTTTTTATTGCCTAGGCCAGATTCAATATTCAGTCCCCGGTGTTTAAAAGATCGAAGACGAGAGAAAGAAATATTGGAAATGAGTTCATCACTCGCAATCTGCATTTCATCAAGCTCTAGAATGTAAACATTCAGAAATAGCAGAGCTTCGTTGTGAGAGCGAGGTAGCAAGAGCACGAGAGCTTTCCACTTCCAGAAATGAGAATATGAAATGTGATTCTCCTCGTTTCCAGCAATCTCCCAATACAGATTGAAAAGCTCTAGTACTTAGTTGGCTCGGAAAACTTTTCAAGAGAATGAGATATGCTAAATTTACTGAGATGTTCAAATGACTCATTTAAACATGTACGTACGTTGAAGTAGATTAACTTCACTCTTTCTCTTAGATTACTTTGCTCATTACGATCAATCGATTAAAATATTTTCACCATTCTCCTGTTTATACTTATAATAGTATGGTTTGGTTAGAACATACAGAAGATGTAATGTATCTTCGATTGTAAAAACGCAATCACGTCTTTACTCACCCAGTGTTAGTTTTCATGGTTACGTTCCTCAATTATCTAATAAGGTAGGCTATGATTATTACTATATTATTATTAATTAAATATAGTTTAATTGTTGACTAGTCATTCTCAACTGTATAATCCGCTTTAAATATCAGATTAAAGTATTTATATTCAAATTCTAAAGATACAAATTCGTTGGTGAAATAGTTATATCTCAAAATAAACATTAAATTCGATTGTGACATGGAAGAGACACTAAATAAATGTATATCTATATGTATTGCTATAAATGCCGTTTTATCAATTTCATTTTGAACTAAATACTTAGAAGTCATGAAACGGCCCTTGTAGTTTATTGAGTAGAGCAAAACAAAAACCAAACAAGGCAATTTTATTATGCGTATCGAGCACTTGAGCAGTAGTAACTTTTAATGTTTATGGGGCATTCTTAACACAAAAATAATGTTTTCAGCTATAAATGCCTTGCATACCCGGCATGACGCCACGTCACAATTAACCAATTCACAACGATCGCTTTATCGAGCTCTTAATTGCTGCTCCACCGTTGGCGATGATGATGCGGCGGAATATCATGTTCATAAAACCATCAATTAGCACAGAATACCGTCAAGAAAAACACGTCACATAATTAAAAGTCGAGCCGTATTAATATCTGCGAACGAACATAATCGTGATGCTGTACAGTAACTGCCAAAAAAATATATACAACAAATTTTTTCAGAACATAACACAAACATACACAAGTTGTTCCTATTCTTGCTCATGGTACAAGAAAATATTTTAATTAATCAATCAATCAATAGCATATTTTACAATTTGCATTCAGCTTTATGCCAAACAAAAGGGTAACCATAGAAGACAACATATTCACATGATTTCTTAATGTCAAATAATTTGCTGGGTTAATTATTTCGAGCCAAGAAAGCGGGAGTTGGTCGTGACAGGGAAAAGGGCAAGTATTGTTGCCGTTGTAGGATAATTTAGAACAGTCGAGTAAAATATGTCGACATAGAGGTTACATAACTCATAGAAGTCTGCTATTCACGGAGATTTTTTCGAATTCAATCAAAGCATATTTATCGTTACCTGAAGTCAGCCTGAGTTGAAAAGGTGTAGTTCACGTTGATATTTGCGAGATGATGGAAGACCCTGGCCCCAGAATCCTGAATATTTATGGAAAGGTGCATGTATAAAGATGAGGAAGGATCGCGAAAAGAAAGGTCAATTTGAAGGCTATGTTGGAAAGCTCCCGTCATGTGATCGTCAGTGTCCAGCGTTTGCAATGAGAAGAGCTCTGGTATGGTATCTTTTTCAAAAATAGTGGGCGGATTTGGAGAATTCAGTTATTTAAGTAAATAAGAAATGAGATG